TTTTTTTTTGTGTTCTGAAGAAAAGATATATTAAACTTTTAAAGTCAGAAATATACATTCTTATCCTCCATTTTATGCTGAATTAAGAACAGGAAAGTCTTTGTTACCTATCTCGTAAGAGATAAACTAATGTTAACACTTAATGCCTCAGTTTTGGTTGTTGGTTTTTTTCTTCTTTTTAATAAACAATACTGCTGTCGCTTTCATTTCCCTTCATCAAGTAAATATGTTTTTGACATAAAGTGATGTCATCAGCTGTTTTACTCTTCTGGAGTGGCTTATTCAAGTGGCTTGTCTGGAAAGTTGCGGTCTATCTGGCAAAAGGTGGTGCAGTACAAATGTAAAGTACAGGAGCTTTTAGTAAGCAGCAGTTTGACCTCTTGCAAGGGTTTTTGCACTGGGGATAGCTGGCACACGACTGTGTGTGGACAACACATTCTGTGTTGTGTTTCATTAAGGAAATAACTGCTCTGCAATGGAATGAAACTCAGTTCCAAATTTCTAACTTCATTTGAGTAAGTAAGGAAGGAGATTTAAATGGTTTTGTATACCTTAATCACAAGAGTGTAAATGATCAAGATACATTTTATTTTGGTAAAATGGGATCTCTCTTGGAGCAGAAGTTATTCAGGTCTGTCTGTTTCTCTGAGGCTTTTGCTTGAAAAGAGTGTTAACATTGTGTGGGTCCAGCCTGTTTCACCACTGTAAGCCATACCACAAATTATACATTTGCCTTGGAAGTCATCTCTAACCAAGGTGACTGAGCTCTGGAGTTGGACTGGAGCAATTCTGTTTGACGTAGGCAAAGTTTGTCTTGTGCTATCTTAATTTCCCTTTCAATGAAAGCCACTTTTCAAAGGAAACTAAAAAGCAATTTGCTGTGGTTTTAGGAGCCTTTCCTTTCTGTTCTGTGCAGGAAAGGAAGAGAGAAGGGAGTTTATTTAAAACTGTTAGGATGACAGTTTGTGTTCTTAGGGTGTTTTTTTACTCACTTTGATTTATACAGGGTGAATGTAATCTTGTTTTAAATGGCAGTGAAAGCAACAGGATGTAATTGGAGTAATTGCTTTCTTCCTCTTTTGCTGTCTTATGCTTTGTCAGTGTAAAGCTGACTCCTTTTAGACAACTTAATGGTGCTTGCTTATTCAGGGGAGGCAATGGACAAAATCCAATCAGCTGTGTCAGTGACTTAATCTGACAAGTGATGTAAAGGACAGGGCAATACATCTGCTGTGTCAGGCCAGGGCTGCTCCCATCTCTGAGTTTAAGGGCTCTTTCTGATGTTTTGCTCTATCAAAGTGAAATACTTCTTAAGATGAGAGTTGGCAGTAGTTGCCTGAGGCTAAGCTGATGTTCAGCTTAACACCTGTGTTGCTCTTTCTCCGCAGTAGAGAATCGTTGTCTTGGCTCCTTAATAGAGTGTGGATCCTCAGGAGTGTGCATTCCGCCCTGGCAGTGGTGTGATGGAGTGAACCACTGTCCCAATGGGGAGGATGAAACCCGGTGTGGTGAGTGCCAACAGTTAAGGGGGAACCTGTCAGCCAATTGCAAGAGTTTTTGAGCAAATTGCCTTATGCAAATCTTGCCTAAGTTACAATAGGGCCATTTTAGCCTAAGTTATATCTCTTAAATGGTTTAGGATGTTTGAGGGCTTTGAAGCTTATATCTAGGTATTCAGCTTGTTTTCAGTCTGATTGAACAGCTGAAACAAAATGACTGACTCAGGGGTTTGAGCTGGCTTAACTCCGAATCACTTTTTAAAATATTACCTTTTAATTCGAATGGGGTTTGTGCAAAACTGAGTGTAACATTGTCTTTGGAATGAACAGTCATCGTTGGCTTCTTAGTAGAACTTCAGGTGATAACATAAATCTAGTGGTCTTCAGTTAGGCTTGTCTTTTTCCACCTATTTCACATTCCTTGTTCTCCCAATAATACTTCAACTACGTCATAACTCCTTTGTGTAAGAAAGCCTGATCTGACCTGTGCTTCTGAGAAGATGCCAAAGGAAGCTTTAGTGCAGTGCTGAAGGTGGTGTAAGTTGGAAACATCATTGATTTGTCCATTGCAGAGGTGTGGCATCTTGTTTTTAACATCTGTGGTGTGCCAGTGCCACTCCAGAAAACCCCGGCTGTGCTCTTATTCTCTCTTGGGGAACTTTCACTCTTCACATGCCTCATGCAGAGTTAGCATTTATTGGCATATGCTCTAAAGCTGTTCCTCTCCATTTGATTGAATAATGGGTTTTTGGAGAAGCTTGTTCAATCTAGGTTTTTTGGGTATTTTTTGTTGTTGTTGTTGTTGTTGTTGTTGTTGTTGTTGTTTTGTTTGTTTGTTTTGTTTTTTTCTTGAACTATTTAATGGTAAATTCTTCTGCAAATAAATACATAATGAGGCATGGAATGTCAGAGGTAATTGCTCCTTGTTACATTCTTGCTTTACAAGCACTTGTCTGAAGAAATTTGGTGTTCTAAGATATTATAATAGATTATATTTTATTTATACACAATATATGATACTTTAAGAAATATATCGTTGCATAGATAAAAGATAAGAAAAGATTGTCTATTGAGATCTCTGTAGTGGTAGGATGTGAAAGAGAATCTTGAGCATAAAAGCTGAAATGAAAAGATGAACACTATTGTACACTTGCATTTTAAACTAGTAAAATTTAAAATTATATTTAAATAAATAAATATTTAAAATAAAATTTAGATTTCTAAATTGCCTTACACAAAGGAATGAAGTTGTTGAAATATTTCTGTCTACTTGATATTTACTCAGAATTTGAGTAGAAGGCAGCTTTAAATTGACACCAGTTCATACATACAAGCAAATATTATGTGTAACAATACCTTTAAGTAGAGAATGCGCCGTAATATACCATGTGGTGTTCTTGGTTTCTTTTTCTTTTTTTTCATTCTTCCTTTTCTGGCAGTTAGACTTTTTGGACCAAACTTTATCCTGGAAGTTTATTCACCTGTCAGCAAATCCTGGTATCCTGTTTGTCAAGATGGCTGGAATGACAATTATGGGAGGACTGCATGTAAAGACCTGGGCTACTCTGCGTAAGTCCAACCTTCGTCAGCCTTTGCACATGCATAGAGAGGTTAAAATTTCCTTGTTGCCATTTTTAAGAATGTATCTGAAAGAAAAATCAGTTGGTGATTTAGTTCTTGTGAACCCAGGTGGATCCGATTTTAACGATGGTAGCTGTTACAGAATCAAAATGAAACATTGCTCCAGGTAACGGGGTCTGGCACGCATGCAGTAGTGACTCAGTGGGGTGACTTGTCTCCAGTACATCCACTCAACAACTGTCTTCAGAGCTTGCTTCAGTTAGTAGCAGATCATTATAATTACTCAATAACATCCAGTCCAACTTAACCTGTCATTGCCAGTATGGCATAGAAAGCCAGCTGGGGCTTCTCAGGTTGTCTGAGGACAAAAATATTGCCAGACCATGTGGAAGATCACCATAAACATTCATTGCCCAGAGTGCTGCCCTGTTCTCTCCACATAATGCTGTAGCCTAAATTATTCTGCAGTTTAAATTCTTGGTGTTGCCTCTTTTTGATACAGTTGGCAAATGCTGTCATCTGTTGTACATGCAGAAATGGAGTGAATTTATTGTCCATGCAGGCAGAACTTGTTTGTGCCCACGCTGCATCATGGTGCTCTGAATTGAGGTCTCTGAACCAGCAGTGACCTCAGTAGTTCTAACTCCAGTAAGACAGCCCAGCCCAGCAGCAACTAAACAGAGCTGGTCCTCAGCTAGAAAGCCTGGCAGGACAGCAGCACTTCCTACTCCTGTCAGTTGTTCTGCAGAAATGTGGCTGTTATGGCTTTTTGGACCTGCTGTGTAAATGTACCAGCAAAGGCATCTCTGTTTCATGAGGCTGAAGATTCCTACCATGTATGTGTATTAGATAAAAATATGATTGTAATCTAGTAACTGTTTGATGGAAAATGGAATTTGACGAATGTTTAAAGAATCTGAGTCTCTGTCACTGTACTACAACACTGGCATTTAATTAAAAAAAAAAAAAAATATTTTTAGTGTTGTTCATGTCAGAAGCTCTAGCTTGGCACAATTTATTGCTTGTTTGAAAATTGAAACTACTGGGTTTCATAATAGACTTTGTTTTGCAGAGATACGTATTACTATAGTCAAGGAGTAACAACTGAAGTCAGCTTTAAAAGCTACATGAAACTGAACACGAGTGCTGGGAATATAGACTTGTACAAAAAACTGTATAGCAGGTATCTTTGTTTAATACAAACTTCTTTCAGGGGGTCTTTTTAGCTGTTGTAAGAGGTGTAACTTCTGTCTGTAGTGTAATGCAAGCACATCTTTCAGTGGGGATTGTTAGAGGGAAAGAGATTTTGTTTTTAATCTGGTTGCAACAACTGCTCTCCCTTCTATTGAAAAACACAGTTGTCATTTTTCCATCTGTCCTCTCTTCTTTTAAAAGAGATGATGTCCCATCCTGTTCCCTCCATGCCGTCTAGAAGGTTGCCACGTCAAAGACACTTTTCCAAGGCTCTTTGACCATCAACAGGAGTTTTTGTATGGTGACAATAGCTACCAGCTGTAACACATTCACAGCAGCTGGTACAGCTTTTTTTTCAGTCACATGGACACGCAGCTTGCAAAGTGGATCTTTCACTGTAGAAAGTATCATTTTTATTCTCATTAAACAACTCTGAAGTGTCTAGTTTCCAAACCTGTGGACTGCTGTACCTGCAAAGTTCCTGTGGCTCCCTTGTTGTTTGGGTTCTTCTACAACTAGTTCATAAATCAGATCAACTTTTACTCTTGCTGTGCTTTATCTTGCTCCTCAGTAGGCTTGCAAACCTTTTGTACTGGTGACTGCAGTCTTCCACATAATAGTTTTGATGAATGCAAGAAATGATGGAAGCCAGTTGGGTGCTGGTAGGGTAGCTGGAGAGGGTGAAGAAAGGAGGGACTCCTCAGCAGGATGAGGAGGGGAAGGCAAGGCATGTAGTTGGAAAGGGTAGGCAGCAGCTGGAGGGTGAACTTTGCCCACCATTTGCTTCACTGTGTTCTTAAAACCCTGTTTGTTTGGTTTTTTTTTTTTTTTTTTTTTTTTATTTCTATTGTAGTGATTTCTGTGCATCAGGAAATTTGGTTTCTTTGCGCTGCATAGGTAAGTGACTGTGTTTCTCAAACTTCCTCTTGTCCATGCTTTGAAATGCTCGTCTGGGAAATCCTTTTATATCTGCATAAATAATTGCCATCTTTTGATGGGCAGGTGGTTCCCAAGTTTCAAACAGTGCAGTTTAAGGAGCAGGGTGGGAGAAGAGACAAGGAGGATGTTGGATACTCTGCTGCTTTTGTCTTGGCTGCCACCGGTTCCTTTAAATGACTTGCCTGCGATGAAGCTCTGTAGCTCTTGCCCAGCAGCCATGGTGGGACATCTGTGGCTCATCTGCTCTCTGACATGCAGCCATCGGGTGGGTTGTGTGTTCTTGATGATGATGGCTGTCATGTGGCAACTCTGGGCTGTTGCATGTTTAGTTGCACAAGACACTGGCATGTGATTGTGTGGCTCGCCAGAGATGCTCGAATGCCACACTCAAAGATGTAATGAACCACTGTTTGATGGTTTGTGGTGAACCGAGGGCAGCAACTACCAAATACTCATCTTGACATTTGCAATGAGAAGGCAGTCTAGGCTACAAGTGACTCGGAATCTTGGTGTCCAGGGCAGGGGCCTGAGCTGTGGCAACTCCAACAGCAGCAGCTCAGAGGTTGGATGTGGTCTGCTCTCCTAGTGAAACCTGAGCTACAGAAGCCATCATCCCAACCATCTGTCTGTAACCAACTCACTAATGATTCTGTTTGTGTGTAACTGACTCTTCAGAGTGCGGGCTGCCCACGAAGAGCCCCAACGTTATGAACAGAATTGTGGGTGGCAGTGGGGCAGTGCTGGGGCAGTGGCCGTGGCAGGTCAGCCTCCATGTGCAGGGCATCCACGTCTGATCATCCCCCGCCAGTGGATAGTGACGGCAGCACACTGCGTGGAAGGGTGAGTCGCAGCCAGCTTGCTCCTTCATCTCTTGAATCATGATTTTTCTCGCTTTAGGCTGAAATGCACAGTTTTACTGAAGTCTCCTGACTTTCTGCTTTAAAACAGAATGAAGTACTATTCCCCTCACCTCCTTGAATGCAGGTGCTAGATATGGTATTTTGGCTATGTAGCATTATGGTTTTCAAATATTAAGGGAAAATTTCTTCTGGAGGAGGCTGGCTGCAGATTGTCTGTCTGATTTCATAGAATCATAGAATGGTTTGGGTTGGAAGGGACATTAAAGATCATCTAGTTCCAACCCCCCTGCCATCAGCAGGGACACCTTCCACTAGACCAGGTTGCTCAAAGCCTCCTCCAACCTGACCTTGAACACTTCCAGGGACGGGGCATCCACAACTTCCCTGGGCAGCCTGTTCCATTGTCTCACCACCCTCACAGCAAAGAACTTCTTCCGAAGAAGGAAGAAGTTCTACAGGAAGAAAATCGTATTTTGCTTGTTAAAGGTGGAAATTAAGTTGGATGGTGGTGTTGGCACAGATACCCACCCAGCTTATGAGGTAAACAAAAGGCATCAAACTTAAGCCAGACAGTACAGTGTTATCATTAAGATGTTGAATTACACTTTGAGGAAAAAACAAAGAAAAGGGGAAAAAAAAGAAATCCAAAACCCTCAAATATGACACAGCTATAGAAAAGATAAATTTAAAGGTGCCTGTACTATTTATTTCCTTGTATCTTCATGACACAGGGTAGTAAAGCCCAAGTCAGTATTAAATGTAGATTTGTACCTATCCAAGAAACACTTTACATAGGCATCAATAAGAAAAATAACTGGTGCTTTGTCTGTTTTTAACCTATGAAAATAGAAGCTTAAAGGAGAGTTAAGGGTGTTGTGGTACTTTGTGTACAGTGGCAGAATGTGTTTAAAAGGTGCCTGCTTCTGTTGGAGGGAAAACCCTGAAGCAAAAACATTTTAATGGTTGGTTGGCTGGATCACAGTTTGAGACTAAGCCAAAGCAAAATGACTTTGTCCTTGACCTTGAGAAAGGAATGCAAGTGTTTATTTTTATGTGATGATCTTATCCCTCCCGTGTTTTCTGATTTGAGCTCTGTAGTACACAAAAGCTTTAGGAATGGCAACCAAGCTGTAGCTGGCACAAACCTGCTTTTCAGTCTTTTTTCCTTGAGGTGGAAGAACTTGAAGCAGTAATGCCTTGGCAGTTCTTATGGAGGGATTTTTAACACTTGTGGGCAATTTTTTATTGAGCATTTATAAACTGTGCTGGAGCACAAGAGCCTACTTAAATTACATCTAGAGAGTATGCTTAACATTTAAAAAAAAACAAACCCACTAAAAACTAAAACCAAACAAAAATCCCCAGGCATTTTCAAGATAGTGAAATTCCTTCTCTAGATCATATTTTTACTAATTCTGGCTTCTGCCCTTTCATGCTTTGGATAGTACACATCAGTGATACCAGTGACATGTGAGACCTTAGAAATAACTGCTTGATCCCTCACCCACGGAAATCAATAGACTTCAGTGTTGCAGTCTCAGACTATAATTTGCTGTGCTGAGTCACTGAGGAGATAGACAGTGATACCCAACCTATTTCAAAGATTTTTCAGATATATTTATGAAATTAGAGTCAAGCTTTCCCAAATTTAGCTGTCTTGCAATTTATCTTTTAAAAAAATGATGATGAGATTTTAAAATTAAATTATCTCCCTTTTATGCTATTTGTCCGTTTCAGCTTTTTTGATCTTTGTGGGACACAGGTATCTGAACATGGACTTTCCTGGTTTTTTTGTGTGTGTTAATACATTTGCATTAACATCAGTAAAAATCATGCTATTTGTGTTAGCCAGTGAGGAGAGACTGGCCAAAAATAAAGAAGGCTGAGTTACTGCTTACCTTTGTCTTCAGAAACGGTAGTCAAATGCATGTGTGTTCTTGGTCATGGTAAAAACAATTTTTTTTGAAGGTCATAATCTGTGACTCCTTACCATGGAAACAAACCTTCTAACCTTTTGTTTTTTCTGTAGACGATTTTCTGACCCATACAGCTGGAGGGTTTATGCTGGGATTCTGAACCAGGATGAGATGTTGTTACGAAATGGATACAGAGTGCAACAGATAATTTCCCATCCAGATTATGATACAGATTCTAAAGACAATGACATTGCCCTTATGAAGTTAGAGACACCGCTGACTTTTACTGGTACATATTCTACTCTTCTTAAGGCAAAAATCCAATGGTTATGAGCACATCTTTTAAAACTTCCAAAGTCCATACATAAATCCTTGTAAATACTTATGGGAAGAACACACAGTGTGGGTAGAGGGTCACCTTAGAGACAGAGCCAAGGCAGAGGTAGGGACCCACCCTCTGATTTTCTAAATAAGATTTATTAAAATCTAGTACATGGTAAAGGCTCACCTCAATAATGTACTTTTACTCCAGAATGCTGTATGGTGCTGAAGTATTGCCACTCCTATTTGAGCAGACACAAGAGGTAGTGGTGGAGAAGCAGCCTAAACCCTCAACCAAATTATGTCAAATAACAATTGGGGAAAAAAACCCCAAATGTTACTAGAAGTTACCTTCTTAAAAGTAGAAGTTCCTTTCTTAAAAGTAGATGTAGGCTGTTTGTAAGCAAGCAGTAAAAACTAGCAGCGAAAACATTATTTAAACTTGAAGTAAAACATTATTTAAACTTGAAGTGCTTTCCGTGTACAGGTGCTGTCTCTGCAGGTCCTTTCTATTTCAGTCGATTAGCTTTAAGCTACTAGGAGGAACGTGGAGGGACTCTGCTGCTGCCGAGAGCAGGCAGGTTGTCTGTTTACCTGGTTTCTGTATTTCACACTTCTTGTGTATAGACCTTGAATCCTGCTTATGTTGTGATTATTTTCAGCAGGGTTTTGCAAAGAGAATGCAGAGAGGTAGTTGTTGGAAGTTTTTCTTCTTCTTTGTTCTCCTTTACTGGTCAGAAGAGCTGGTGTTAATTTTTCTAGTTAGCCTGATGAATTGAGCTAGAACAATTAACTGTGCTTGTTCCTCACTTTGAGGTCCAGATTAGACAGTTGTCTGGGAAAGGGCAGCTGCTAAAGCTTTCTGCTGCTGCCTGTGTCACACAGTATTGCTTATCTGCAAAGAAGGTAAAGTACAGTGAAAATGCATGGTGTGTATGTATTTAAGTGGTGGTCATGCTGAGATATTTTATATACATTTGTTTTGCATTATGTCTGGACATATGGGATTACAGCTGTTACTCTGTTTGTTTTGTAGATAATATACGGCCAGTTTGTCTGCCCAATCCAGGGATGATGTTTGAGCCTGATCAGCAGTGCTGGATATCTGGGTGGGGAGCAGAATACCAAGGAGGTAAAGAGTGGCTCTGGAATATTTTGGTCATAAACCAGTCTATGAATAACTGTTGCATGGCCTGATTGGGCAGTTTGAGCCACATCTGTTGACATGGTATTTTTTTTTTTTCACCCATTTTACAGCCCCTAGTATTTACACACAGAATTCTGTCTTAAAGCAAGTTGTAATGTGTTGCATTCAGCAGACTGCAGAGGAGCCTCAAATCAGTACTGTGGGCCAGAAATATTCACGCAGGAAACAATTTTGTGCCCCTGCTAGCAGGGCCACTTCAGTGCCCTTATTCTCTCTCCTGTAACAAGGGTTGTATATGCCAAGCCAGTTCTCTGTGGACATGTGAAAGGGCAGGAGCCTGTCCTTTCACTACCTCAGGCTAAACTGGCATGATGCAAGTAAATTCACAAGAAATGAGAAGGAAAGGGAGGAAACTTTTCTTTCAGTATTAGAAGGTACTGTGTGGGGAGGTGGGTATTGGCTGTAGCTGGACCCTGAGTATGGGAACTACTGTCAGCTTGTGCTCGACCATGAAACTGTGGGGAGGTCCTCTTCACCTCTTGCACGCTTCATGTGCTTTTGATAGCCCTGTAGATAACACAGTTGATTTGGGACTGGAGTAGGCAAGTAGGTGCCATGTTCTCTTGCTTTACAGTACACTGACAGCAAAGCAGGGTAATGCACTGACCCCTTGGAAGGGAGTTTCAATGGCACAGTTGTCTCTCTCTGTGTGATGGACCATACATCTAAAGTGTCCATCCCAATGTTTCTAGTAAGTTTATTTCATCTTCAACAGTACTAGCTGCTGGGGTTTGTAATAGCAACATATAATGCTTGCTCTAATTTTGTCTATTTTAATGTGTTTTTGTACATGTTTCAATTTTAGGTAAAACATCAAATAACTTGAATTATGTTATGGTGCCCTTGATAGAACATTCTGTGTGTAATTCTATCTATATCTATAGTGGCATGATTTTGCCTACAATGATCTGTGCTGGATATCTAGGAGGAGGAATTGATTCCTGTCAGGTAATTAACACCTAATAAAGATCTAATTATTTTTGTGGTCTTACTAATAGGCTTTTTTAAATCATCTCTTAATTACAAACAGATCCTATGCAAAAAAAAAAAAAAAAAAAAAAAAAAATTGGTTGGGCTTCTAGTTTCTTCTGTGGTGCATCCCTTTAAAAGGAAGAGCTTTTGTTTCATCTTCCAAATGGTTGCCAGTTCTGAGTTCTCACTAACTACCCAAAGAGAGTGAGGCAGTTCCTTTTAATGCTTCAAGGATGTTTTGTTATCTGGTGCTTGAAAGTGAACAAATGCTCTTCATAATCATGGTGATACCCTAGCAGTATGCTTGTGAACAAGGAAGTCAGCAGTGCCAATCTCATTTAATGCTTTGGGCAAATATTTTTCATCCCTGTTGCAAGTGGTCATCATTTAATGCTGTAATTGCATTTTGTTTTATCATTTTCATGAGGCTTTGAGCAACCTGGTCTAGTGGAAGGTGTCCCTGATGATGGCAGGGGGATTGGAACTAGATGATCTTTAAGGTCCCTTCCAATCCAAACCATTTTATGATTCTATGATTTAATGCTGTAATTGCAAAATAGAAATGCCATTGCATTTTGTTTCAGTGACTGTCTTAAAATGGTGGTTAGGTTTTTTTGAAACTTAACTGGTATTCCTGAAGTGAAATGGATTGTGTCTTTCCTGGTGGCCAGGACACTAATAATATGCTTGTATTTTGTGCAGGGTGACAGTGGAGGTCCGCTAGTAACTAACAAAAGCTCCGTGTGGTGGCTGGTTGGAGATACCAGCTGGGGAACTGGCTGTGCTAGTCCCAATAGACCTGGAGTGTATGGGAATATGACTGTGTTTACAGACTGGATTTATAAAAATATGCAGGTAAATTATTTGGGTGTTTTTAATAATTTTAAATGTCCCAAATCCTGAAACTTGATTTAGGAAAATGAATAAATGTAACTTCTCTGATAATGAAGCTATTCTGTTGAGAAGCATCCAAATAATTGATAAGTCTGTTGGCAGAACCTGAACCTTTTTTATTTTGTTTTCTTAAACAGGCAAACAGATGACAACGCTGTCTGTCCTTCTTGCTGATCAATGTTTTCTGAGGACAAGAATAAATGAAGCCATGGGTGCCTGGGATATTTATTCACTTTGCAAATGATTTTTTTTTTTTTCTATTTGAATTTTCTTTTTAAAAATAACATGAAGGATTGCACACTCGGTTCTGTGCTGGCTACAGTGACTGATCTTAATCAGTGAAGGATTATCACAATGAGCACCTTTCTTCTTGTTGTGGTGCCTGGCAGAAAGTCATTCTGTCACCTGCTTACTGAAATGTCTCTCTTTAGTCGAGTAACTTTCACTTGATAATCAGGTATGGGCTTATAATGTAAATTTTAATCACAATTTAACTTAAGATTTTCATTGCAGGATGTTGAGATGGTTGGTTTAGTAGTGTTTTAAATTAAATGTTAAGTAATGTGAACATTGAATCTCTGAGCTGCTGGTTGGCAATTTAAAAAGAAATGAGTGGTTTTTAGTATATATGAAGGGAAGTTTTCCTGCACTATGGTAGAGGTACAGGAAAAAAAAATACTGTATATTCAGGTAGTTAAAAATCCTCAGGATCTCAACACAGCAGTTATCCAAGTCAGACTGTTTGAAGTGAGTCCAGTCTGACTGTCTCAGTAATTAAAAGTGCTGTTCTGCCTTAAGCTGCTCTAAACCCAAAAAGGCCAAGACCTGCCCTGACTCTTGCTGTGGAGAGGGCTCCTCTGAAGCTGTAGCAGGAAGCAGTGAGTTTAGTGTCCCACTGGGGAGGTCCCTGGCTGCCCTCCTCAAGGTTGACTCTCGAACTCTCCCTGCTGTGAAAGGCAAAGGGCAAAGTTTTTCAGTGAGGCTGTGTTGCAAGCGATAGACCTCTGATTGCAGACACCCATACAGAGGCTGTGGATGTTTTATACAAAGAAACACAAATCTGCATTTCTGCGTAACCAGGTGAACTACCTCATTTATTAAATTTGGCTTTTAATTCATTAGAGCTCTCCTTTATGTATCTGCACATATGTTTTTAGCAAAATGTAATTAATATCAGAGTGCCACCTCAACTAGGATTTTGAAAATAATTTATAATAATAGTACAGAGGATCAAAAAGCCATACCAAGTCACTTTTGTTAAGAAGGATAAATCTTTTGAATGAAATGACTCTACTAGTCTTGTTTTATCTTTTGGTACTGAAATACAATTATCTTGCATGTAAACACTGAACCAAATAAATATTTTTTTTTTTTAACCAAATAATTTTCCTTATTATACCTGTTTGCTTGAATTTTTTTGGAAGCAGTTGCTGGATTCAGTATCTGACGTGCTTTGAGAATCTGATTTAAAAAACAACCAACCAAAAAAAAAAAAAAAAAAACCACACAAAAAACCCCAAAACCAAAAACAAGCAAAAGAAAAACAATACAAGAGGGTGATCCAAGAGATTGTTTTAATTCCAATATTTCAGGTCCTTGAACAAACCCAGAGAAAGAGAGCTGGATGTCCAGGAATGTGGATGTCTTTAGTGGCTGGGTCTGATGAAATCACTGACTTGTGAAATTGAATTAAATAAGGAAGTTTAGCCTAAAGGCAGTGGGTTAAGGGAGTCGCACCCTATTTTGTTATTACATCTCATGCTGCCTGAAGAAACATGTACCTGCCTCTCTTGTCTAGGTGTGAGACAGGGTGCTTTTAATAGCACATGAGCATCAGGTGTGCCTTGGGGGGACACTATGAAGCAGTCAAGAAGTTTAAAGTACTTTCAAAACAGAAATTAAATAAATGAGGTTGTTATGGTGTGAGGCTGCTTTATGGCTTCTGAGCTGCAGCCCTGCAAGTCCCTAGTAGCCAAACAGCATACTGAAGTGTGGAAAACTGGCTGTGGTGTTAAACAGCATTAAGCAAGCTGTATGTTGTACTGGGTGGGGCGAGTGCTGTGCACAGAAGTCAGCCATCTGCTGCTGCAGTTTCCTGTCAGAGGGTCAGACACCTCCTATCTTTTCTAGCCTGAAGAGAAGGTTTCTCTTGTAAGCATCTCGGAAATTACTACATGGCACACTGGTACAAGCAGATTTTTTTTTTTCAGCTGAATGCAGACATTACTCTTGGTACACAAAGCACAGCTTTGCCTGTTAAAACAAATCCTCCATATGAAAGATGTAATTAATACAGTGTGCAGCATTATATTTTGCACTGGCTTCCATTAAGTGAAAGAGCTTTTCAAAAGGTTCTCCTTGCCCTGGGGAGGGGAAGGAGAAACGCAGCAAACCACATGCTTTGCCACCTTTCTCATGTTTAACATTCCGAGTCATTTAATCCCTTTTGGACATCTAAATCCTCCCAGCTAGGGAATGGCCCATCAGGACCAAAATTTCAGGCGATGCTCCAGGGATCCAAAAGAGAGAGCCTTTTAGGTGTTTGTGGGGGGTTGGGTTTGTGGGAGGGGGAGGTGTTTTTGGTAGTGGGGGAAGGGGCCACAGTGATGGCCCCTGTGAAAAGCTTCACAAAGTTCCCTGTGGCTCCAAGGCCTACCCCTCCAGCCCAGGCTGAGCTAATTAGCAAGAGGAAAACAGCTCTTCAAATCCATACTTACAAGGAGAAGGTCTGTCTTGGAAAGAAGAAGGTGGAGAGAACCTGGAGAAGATGCCATTGACCTGAACAAAAGACAACCATCTAAAACAGAGAGAGTTTCTTTGCCAGGAGGAGGAAGAGGGAGGACAGAGAACCTCAGACACCCAGTTCAACACTCATGGAGTAGGAGAAGGAAAATGAGGTCCCCTGCAGCCCATGGAAGTGCAACGGCAGAGCAGATGCCCACATGTAGGTTATGGAGGACTCCACACTGGAGCAGCAAGCTGAGCCCGAAGACAAGTGTGAATGAGTTGAGACCCCAGAGTCACTCAATACCAGAGTGGGGGTGGTGAGGAGGTGCGCTGGACCGGAGGCCCGTCTGGAGGCCATGGATGTCCCCATGCCAGAGCCAGGAGCTGACCGTGACTCCATGGGAACCTTGCGTTGGAACACTCTTCCTTTTGCAGCCTGTGGGAGGAACTTTCATGCCAGGAAGAGCAGCAGAGGTGAACTGCTTGCAACCCCCATTCCCTGTGCCCTGTGCTGCTGTGGGGGAGAAGGTAGAGAAATTGGGAGCAAAGTGATTTGAGCCCGGGAAGAAGGGAGGGGTGGGGGGAAGGTGTCTTAAGATGTGTTTTTTATGTCTCACTGGGCTACTCAGATGCATGGCAACAAATTAAATTGATATTTCTTCCCCAAGTTGAGTCTGTTCTGCCCATGGCCATAACTGGTGAGTGAGCCCTCCCTGACCTTCGTTCCTAATCCCGTGACCCCTTTGTTGTGTCTCCTATCCCATCTCAGTGGGTGGGGGGAGTGAGTGCACGTCCGTATGGTTCTACCTGTGGGTTAAACCACCACAGCTTTCTCTACAAATCAGAGAACTGAAAAAGGAGGAACAGAGCCACAGCATCTTGTGGATGTACTGATCAGATGAATTTAACATTCTTTTCCCTTTAGGCTGAAACTGTTTCATGCCCACTGTGTGTACCCTCTACCTATTGAGAATTAACAGGGCAACACCTTACACAGTCATCATTCAGGCAGTGGCAGTAAAGACAACAAAAAAGGCACAAACAAAAAGGGAAGTGGGGAATTGCTAGGGTTGTGCAGTTAGCTTCGTCTAGGAAAGTTAGTTAGATAATTTGATTTCTACAGTTTGTGGGTTTTACAGCTGAAAGCCCTCATCCTCAGTTTAAAAAAAAAAAAAACCACCATGAAACACAACCCTCACAGCTTTAACATTTAATTATTATTTCTATGATTGTACAGATTTCATAAAGCAAATGTTTAAAAATGAGATAACATTTATTTAATCACAGCTCAGTGGAACACTTTACACAAGGGCAGGTGTTTGTGTGCTGTGGAAAATAAAGCAGAACTGAACAGACACAATGAGTATTAAAGGTCTGTGCTGACATTACATTTTTTAAGAGATTTTATGAAGTTCTTTGATAATGCTAGAAAATGAGTAGAAAAATACTTCTTAAAAATGAAGAAATCTACAGTGAGGTGAAGTCTCTCAGGTATTGACAGGCTTTGGTGAGACGATTAACTCGTTGACTGAGGTAGCTCCTATGTTTAGCAGCTTCACCGTCCTCCTGAAGGAGATGGTTTAACTTGTCTTTTTCTTGCAAAAGATGCAACATTGTGGTCTGTAAGTCATCCCCAAAGTCATGAAGGGCAGAAGACAGGATTATCAGAGGTATCTGATTGGAGAGGCGTTTACTTGCTCCCTGCAAGAAGGGGGAGAAAAAGGCAGAATATTTGTTTCTCAAAAAGAACTAAAAAATGAAGGGGCTCTAGGTAATATGGTAAGAAATGACAACATGTTTTTAAAATGTTGTGTTGAATTCAAGAAGTAAATGCTTCTAGGAACTAAAAAATAATTGCTATTAGACTCTTTTGTACCTAAAGATCTAAAAATTGTTACGGGAATATCAGCTTTTGCTTTTTACCACTCAGCAAATTAAACTCAAGGCAGGCTGTTCCCTACTTGGCTCTGCCAGCTATTGTTGGTAAGAGTTATACGAGGACATGTCTGATGAATAGTACTTGTGAACAATTTCTGGCATCAAACCTGTGTTCTCTGAACACTACTAATCTATTATGGTACAGGAAATCAAATAGTGATTTTTCCCAAAGGTGGTAAATTCCTGTATTTAGATGTTATTTCTGATGTTGTTGTCCTTTTAAATGTAAGACAGCTTTGGAGTAAGCTTTAGCCTTAAGAGAAAATGTCTTCAGCAATAGTGAGACTGGTGTGCCTACATTACATCTACTGATACCTCCTCCCCGCAGCCCTCCTGGTGTCAGTTGAGCACTTATGCCTGAGTGACTGGCTGCAAATGAGAGAAGTGCCATCTTAATTTTTTTTTTTGTGGCACCTGACTTGAAAATGGCAGTGGGAAGACCAAGTAGAGGCACATTTGATCTTTAGGTCCTGTAGGGTTTAGG